GAGAATACATTGACACTCTTCTTTATGGTAACCCCTTAGATGTTGGCATACTGCTATCATGTCACCCCTAGTCCTTCTTAGACATACACAATTACAGAAACTGGTCTTCATATGTTTCATATGTTTTAGCCTCCACTCCCCTAATCATCTTTGTTGCTTTTCTCTGTACTCTGTACTCTTTCTAGAGTCTCAATATTTTTACATTGTGGCAGCCAAAACTGGATTCAGTATTCCAAGTGTGGTCTTACCAAGGCATTGATACACAAGACAGAAAGAGGGAGGGAAAGAAACAGATACAGATTTACAGAGTTGGAATAGACCTTTTAGATCATCTAGACCTTTTAGATCATCTAGTCCAACCCCCACCCTTTCAGACCCTACAGCATTTTTGACAGATGGCAGTCCAGTATCTTCTTGAAAGCTTCCAGTAATGAAGGTCCCACAACTTCTGAAGGCAAGCTGTTCCATTGGTTGATTGTTCTCACTGTCAGAAAATTTCTCCTTATTTCCAGGTTGAAAAAGATCAATGAAAAGGATAATTGAAGCACCACTTAAAAGAAAAGCTATAAGTCACTGAATTATTTGAAAGAAATGTAGGTTATAAATGTAATATATATGTCATTCAAGCATTGCAACCCCTGGCTGAAACTTGAACACACGAATTCTAGAGGTTGGATGTGAGTCCTCAGAACAGTTTAGCAATTTAATACTCATACTGACCATCATTATCATCATATATATGCCAAGATACCACCATCTTTATAGCAGTAGCAGAGAGTTAAATGTTTGGGTGGTAAATTTATCTATGACACAGGGAATAATCCTGCTTGGAGGCTTATGGCTTAAGGTGGTGGTACTCTATCTTCTCCTGAAAAATTCATTGTTGACCTGACTGCTAGATGATTTGGGGCCTGTCTCCAACTTTTTCTTTCTAAGGAAATTGTTGGAAAAGTGATTGGGCTACAATTCCAAAGACCTTTGGAATGAGGCAGATTATCTGGATCTTTTTAGGTCTTATCAGATTTCAGATCTGGGCAGAGCACAAAGATAGTATGAATGATACTTGTTGATGATTTGTGACTAATGTGAAGTAATGCATAAACCCTGGCTTTTCTTGATATCTCTGTGGCCTTCAAAACCATTGATCATTTCTAGATTTCTAGACTAGGTCTTTGGAAATATGTGGTAGCTTATTCCTTTCTTTGGAGTGATTCTAGTGGTTATTAATGTAGGTAAGTGATCCTGTCTAAAGCTGTTGCTTTTCCCTGTAGTGTCCAATTTATAAAATTTAATTTCCAATTTCTGTTGTAACTTAGGATAGACAAAGTGAATTGGTTCAGGTGAAAAGCTGTTTATTTCATTTAATTATTTAAAGACCTCTTTTGTAAAAAGTTCCCTGGATGTTGCCCAAAAGTCTCTCTTTGGGGGAGATGGACGTTCTGTTGTAACCTAGCAGAGCAAGGTTAAAAGGGTTTTTTGTCTTGTGATGTACTTATATATTCCATGCAGGAGTTTTAAATAAGAATAAAAATATAATACTTTCCCACTGAGTCACAATTCTTTAAACTTACTCTGTGTTGTGTATAGATTGTTAGTTTATAAATAATTATTGAGACTAGGAAAACTTGTATTTATAATTTTCTGAAAGCACCATGTTCCCAAACCTAATGCTTGTCAGATAGAACTATAATTAATGCAACTTTTTGAAATGTGTTACATTTCCTTATATAAATTTGAATATATAAATTAAAAAAAATAGATCCAGGAAACTTTAGACCTATCAGCCTGACCTCAATACCAGGAAAGATTCTGGAAAAGATAATCAAGNATAACTGCTACTCCCCCACCCCTTCATTGGTTTCATGGTTGGTGGAGCACCTGAAACCCATCTGGGCACATTTCTGAGAGGGGGACTCCTCTGTCTTGGCCCAGCCAGGTTTTGGTTATACATGCCAGGTCTGCCTCCTTGTCTAATATTAAATCCCAGATGAGGAGAGCTTTATTCACAACCGACCTGGCATTTAGCAGCAACAACCTGAGACCAGGGCCCTGCACTCCTCTGCCACCAGGTCCTTGAGTTGAGCCTGAGGGCCCGGAACAAGGAATCGCTGTAATGTAGCGAGTCCTTCTTCCCCAGTAATGGCTAGCCCTATAGCTCCCGTCATATCTGCCCCTCCCAGTCATAACCGAAATGTTCTGACATCACCCCATCCCCGTAAACCCCCCCTCCCCCATGGCCCCAATTATTCCCGGCAGGCCACGTATACCATTCACTCTAGGGCGGGAGGCAAGTCTGGGCCCCCATCCACTTCTGCTTCTGTACTAGTTGCTAGAACAGGCATACTGCCTGCATATATGTATTTTCCAGAAGGCAAATAGGTAAGGATGTTCCTTGTTGCCACATTTATTCACCTCCCCGTGACTTCCTACAAAATCCCATCTAGTATTTGTCTGTCTGGCAGGGAATTCTGGTGGACCAAACTGTAGCCACTTACCCTTTATTTTTCTCCTAAGAATGTGACATGGACAAAAATATTATTGTGAGGACAGAAGGAGCATGGGAAATAAAGCTGATGCTAGATCAGAGGTGGGTTGCTGCCAGTTTGCACCAGTTCAGGCGAACCGGTAGTGGAAATTGTGACTGGGTTGCCGACCTGTAGGGATGGCAGGCTCTCCATGCCCCCGAACAGGTTCCCTGGTTGCTGCAGCATGTTTTTCTGATATTTTTTATGTTCTGCGCATGCACAGACCTATTTACCGGCAACTGCGCATGCGCATGGAGTGAACCAGTAGTAATGCTGGCAGAAACCCACTGCTGTGCTAGATACTGATGTTTGGCTTCTCAACATGCCAACTGGTAACGTTAAAAGTCAAGCAGGGCAATGATAGAGCTATGGGATATGCCCTGAGTACATTTGTCCCCTTGAACAATAGATAAAGGCCCTCCAGGTGGCAATTAATTTTCTCAACAAGCCCCATGGGAAACTGGGACTGTTGCAGAGAGCCGAACCAATAGGGGCACCATTGCAGTCCATATAGAGACAGCCAAAGGGTCAGATGTAGCTCATAGGTTGTAATGGGCTGGAAGTGGCCCACAGGCCATAGAGTGCTCAGGTCTGCTTTTGGGCAGGAAAAGGAAAAACACTTGATTAACATTTTGCAACTGTAGTGATGCTCCAACTTTTTCAATACACCTTACATGTTTCTATGTATTGAAGTATTTTAAGAATATAGGAAATTCTTTAAATGGCAGGAGAGGATCAGAGTCTTGAGCTCTTATTCTGCCTGGACAACCTAATCAGAGTTTTTAAAATGGTCCCATGTCCTGCAGTTCTGCCTACAGATTGAGAAATAGCTGATTGCCAGTTCCTGTGAAAACACATTTTTCCAAAGGAATTACAGAACTATTTTTCTTCCCTTCAAAAATCCATTTGTGAGATAACTGTTTCTTGCTTGAATTAAATTTGATAGCCAACTGGCCCTTCATATTCACTGTGAAAAGGAATAACATGTTACTGTCCTGTTATGCACTCCAGGTAACCAAGAACAGAATCCACTCCTTCCGAGGTTACGGGATTGAGATGCTTGATCAAACAAAGGCTTTAGTACAAGATAACTTGATTTTTCAAGGGAAGAGCAAAAAGACTATTTTACAGCAAGTGTCCAGCATGGAAGATTGTGTCATTCAGAATAATAAGATCCTTGCTTTCAGAAAAAAGTAAGTTTGGCGATATTTCAGTAAGTGAAAAGCTCTGTCAGTGGTAGTTCTGGACTGAGGATTAATGGATTAAATTATCATGACAATATAACAGGAACTTGTAATTTGTTTCTTTATTGAATAATATTTGCAACCCACCCCAAATCTCAAAGGATACTAGGTAGTACACTGGTGATTCTTGTTTACCAACCACTCGCTCAGCAACCATTTGAAGTTGCAGTGACATTAAATGAGTAGTACTTACAACTGGGCCTTAGAATTTCAGTCATTGTACCATCTCTGCAATCACCTGATTATCATTTGCACTCTTCCCTGATAGCTTCTCATAAGCAAAGTCAATGGGAAAGCCAACAGGTAAGGTCACAAGTCTTTCTGGTAAGTCCCACGGTCTTCCTGGGCTCTTGTGCCACCACTCCATTCATTCACCAGTCTTGGGTGGTGCTGCTGCCGCACAACGCCCCCCTCCCAAGTTTCTCCTAGCCTCCTCTATTCCCCCCTGCAGACTCCACCCTCCAGAGCTCCTGTGCAAAATATTTCTTGGAATTCACTCATCTAGCCTGGGTGATTGCCTTTTTAAGTCTCCCAGATCCAGGGCTAATGAACCAGAATCAAGTCAAGAAGCTTTTCGTGGATTCTGAAGTTCAGTTTGCAGATAGTAGGTGATGTTCTTGGGAGTTCTGTTGGGGCGATAGCGCGAAACTCTTTGCACAGAAGTCAAAAGATATATGGTGAAGAGAAGTTGAATTCTGCTTGGTGTGTTATTGTTGATGATGATGTTATTTCAATGGGTATATGCCTTTCCTTTCCTGAACTACGATGGTAGTCAGCATTTTGTTAAAACCATCTGTGTATAGCTGGATCAAAGATAAAGAAACTTACAGGTTTTTCAATTCTTTTTTTGCTTTTCAAAGCAGAAACTCTAAGACAGCAGTTACAAATAGTTAGAAAGGTAAGCACTGTATCCTAAGATATTTGGCAGACATAGTAGCATTCTGCCGCTTGTTGCATAGCAAGTGTCAAAAAAGATTGTAATTTCATTGTTGGCACTAAACACTGATTGAGAGCAGTTCTTGCCTCCTTTAGAAAGGCAAGTTCAGACTTTGCAAAGCACCATTCTTGCCAAAGCAATATTTATTCAGTTGGGTGTGCATTATTATCTTGCCTAGTAACTTCAACTGATACTGGCTGGTAATGAAAATTGTACTCTCACATGTCTCAAACTTACTAAGCTTAGAAAATTCGAGCTATAAAATGAATTCATTCCTGACATAGGTTTTCTTAAATGCAGACCAAGTATATTTCCTGTACCGTATGAAGGAAGGACCAATGACTGTGGTATTTCTGTTCTTCAGGTCTGATGTTGCCTGGACCTTAGAGAACCCTCCAGCCAGGCCCCACATTGAAGAATCGTCTCGAGGGGTGTCAACAGCTGGAAGCAGCCAGAAAGGATCAAATGTGACAGCCAGAATAGCTGCTAGAGTAGATGGGGGTTGTCATAACAATGGTAGTATCTTCTGCACTATTCTGTGAGGGTTTGCAGATTTGCCTCCATCTTCCTGATTATGTTCACTGCAATATTGAACAAATTCACATTCAAATGTTTTTCAGCTGACTGGCTAGCATTGTGAGCACATAAGAATTAATGGGAATGAGCCTGGAGCCAGCTACAACCTTGTCCAGCTGACTATGCCCTATTGAGTGTTTTGAGAGCTTGCCTCAGCTTTCACATCTGCATCCTTGTATCAGGCCCAAGTTCATTCCTTAGAAAATGGTATTTTTGCAGCATCAAAAGATATGCTTGCTTCTTATGCCTGCTTATTCCTTTCCTTTGTCGACCTGATTATTCAGAATTACGTCTAAGGGAGGGGATTGATCTAATAACAAAGGCATTTGAGGGTCATCTACTTGCATTTTTGCCTCGTACGGATTTTAAGAAGGAATAGTTGCAAAGAAGGGGAAGAGGGAGGCTGCTTTCTGTGTCAGGTATTAAATTCCCAGATAATTTTTTACCTTCCTTTCTTCTGTTTCAGTTCACACCTTTCAATGTGGCCCAAAGTAGGAGTGAAGTGCAAGCAATATTATCAGAAGGAATTGTATCCATTCTTACAAATACAACATCACTTGCTATTTATATAATGTGTAGGTGAGGAGTGGGTGGGGATTCACTTAAGCTTACATTCTTAGTGATTTGCCAAAAAGCCACTTAGTTTAATGTCAGTGAAATCCTGGGTGCCTTGACCTATTTGTTGGCCTGCTTGGCATCACTACCTTGACATTGGCTGTTGTGTATGATTGTTATCTCCCCTCTGGTGCCTTCTAGATATGCTGAACGTATCATCCAAAGCAGCATGTTTTTGCAATGATTGGAGTTGTCATCCAATACACACAGAGGGAACATATATAATTTATCGAGGAGTAAATCTCATTGCAAATAGCAGAGCAGAGTTACCAGTAAATATATGAACATTGTTTAAGGTTCTAGAGCAGTGATAGCTAACCTTTTTCGCCTCGCGTACTGAAATTGCGCACACAGAACAGCAATGTGCCCTGCACATGTGCACACAACCCCCTGCGCTCCCCTCTCACGCCCATGCAATACATGACCCCGCCTGCACCCCATTTTGAGCCTCTCTGAAGCACAGCCAGCTCCAATTGAACTGAGTCTAAAAAGTGGGAGCATGCTCCTCAGAGGTGATAACATCACTTTGGTAGACTCAGTTCTGTTAGTTACTGACTGAGTTAACCCATGCATGACCGCTGTCTCCACCTGCCCAGAGAAGGGGCGTATCAGGTAAGAACCAACGCCCCATTTTGGGCCTAGCAGTCCTCCCTGAAGCCTCCTGAAATGGAAAATGGAGGGTGGAGGTGCCACATTTTGCCCACATGCGCCTGTGACCCTCCCTCGTCCCCTCCACCATACATGCACACATCTCCCCCATGCACAGCAAAGACCCAAAAATTAGCTGGCCGACAGGAGGCGTGCGTGCATGCATGATGGAGCTGAGCTGGGTGACAGCCCGCATGCCTGCAGAGAGGGCTCCGCATGCCAACTGTGGCACATGTGGTTCGCCATCGTGGTTCTAGAGTATTAGATCAGGAATATGGCAAAATGTATGTAAAATTGCATAAAGCAGAGATAAATTAGAACTCTTATCAAAATACAGTAGGGGGGGTTAGGAAGAAAATAAGATCCCTCCAAACGGAATGGTGTTTTGAATTTTCAGCAAAATAATAACGTGTACACTATTGTAGATCATTCCAGGAAGAGCTGTAATTATGTTAATACCAACATTGCCATAATATGATGATGCTGGATTTAAAATAAAGTCTTAAAAAATGAGAAAATGGACTTCTAGAAGCCGCTCCCAGTAACTTTAGGGGCTGCTCAGAACTTGAGGATAGTAGTATACAGGAGTGGCAAACTAAAAGTATGCTGTGCCTTTGTAAGCATTTAATATAGGGGGGCCTCGACTTACAACTACTTGTTTAGTACCTATTTAAACTGACAACAACACTGAAAGAAGTAACTTAGCACCATTTTCACATAATCATTGCAGCATTCCCATTGTCACATGATCAAAATTCAGGCACTTGGCAAGTGGCTTGTATTTAGTTGCCGCATTCCGGGATCAAGTGGATCCCCTTTTGCGACCTTCTTGCAAGCAAAGTCAATGTGGAAGCCGGATTCTCTGAGCCATGTGACTAACTGCAGTGATTCACTTAACAACTGTGACAAGAAAGGTGGTAATGTAGGGCAAAACCCGCTTAACTTTCTTGGTTAACAACATAAATTTGGGCTCAACTATGGTCCTACGTCAAGGACTACTTGCATGTAACAATTTTCAAAAAACATTCCTGCGCAAGATGTTTCCCAGAGCTCATTGGTCTAGATCACAAGTGTCAAACTCAATCCTGACTTTTTTGCCTTTGCCGAGCTGGGGTGGACGTGGCCTGTGCGTGACGTATCTGGACCACAGGCCGCCAGTTTGACAGGCCTGGTCTAGATTTTGGTTGATTGCCTTTTTTTCAACCTACAATAATATCTTAGAGGAAGCAAGATATGGCGACTCAGCAAGTTGATTTCTTGGAGAGTTTTTAATGAAATTCTCAAGGTTAAGTAATGAAGGTATTTTAAAGGTACCAAAGTGAACTGGCCTTGTCATTTTTCTTTACTTCACAGAGCTGGTACCTGTTTTAACAGTTAGGTGGCAAGCAATAATGTAGTAGGTTAAAATCTCAGGACTTTGAAGGCTAATCTGGGTCTGCCATACAACTGCAATATAGAAATCTCAGTCCTGTTCACTCATCATAGCAGCTTGGGTAGGATCTTGGATTACTTCATTTATTTTAAGTTGAAGATGCCAGAGGCTGAACCTGGACAAAGGAGGCTTTGTACTACTTAGTTTCTCCTTTGTTGTGTGAGTTTACAATTTTACAGTTGCCCATTCTTTTCTAGAAAACAGTAAAAACAGGCGGCTTTCAAAAAGCAGCATGGTTTAATGAGAGAAAAGAGAATGTCATCTGCACATGGACTTATGGTTCTGTTATCTTCATGTATGGATAATTGTAAAAAAAGAAAGCATTTTAAAAAGGTGTGATCTACAAATAGCATGGTTTTATAGAAATTCTTTGCAGCTCAGTCTGAAATCCTATGCACACGTAGGAAAGTCCAATTGTTAACTATTCCATTTTGGAATAAATATGCATTGGCTTAAGCTGCAAGCCAGCAAAATAAGCAAGCCAGAAATATTTTTATAGGGCTGGATCCAGTTTATCAGGTGGAGAAAGCATTTCCCTGAGTGGGAAGTGGGGAAAACTGCCAGTTGGGCCTTCTCTCTGAAGCCCGTTTTCCAGTTCTCTTAAGACTTCTTAAGTAAAGGAGTAGGTAGAATGAACTAGCGCCTACTGTTCAGGATCAGAAACGTTTTACTTAATACAGCTTTTCTAACTACCAACACAATTATGAATTCAATAGTAATATTCCCAGTACAACGTACTCTCTCATGAGTTTCAATTATAGACAAGTTATTGACGGTTCTCAGTCCACTGTAAACAATCAATTGAATGTCTTATTAAAACTTAGATGCCACTAACTTAATTGCCTCAGTTCTTTAACTTCTAAACTTCAATTTTATACCGCACACCTTGTAGTAAACTTTGCTATACTCTCACTTCCAGACATGAGACTGCACTGTCAGCAATAAAGTGCATTCGAGCCATAGACCACTTCTTAAAGCATTGTAACTTAACTGGAATTGACCACTAATACGTTTTAAGCTTATAACTGGGCTGGATGATAATCTGGTACATTTTGTTTAACATATATCTTGTTAAAAGAAATTCAAACTATTCTTTGAAAAGTTTTATAAAGGGAAATATGTGTAGTACAAAATAAAAAAATATTTTATTTTAAATGCAGATATTTTGCTGATTTATTTTTTCCTGATACATTATGGAAGGCAACAAGAGGCAAAGGGTTTGTGTGTCTTCAATTAACTGCACAATGAAGAGAAATTCTTAAATGTTCTGCAAGTTGTTGGTGTGTGAGAGAGATGGGAGCCAGGGAAGTACTCAGATACTGCATATGCCTCCAAAATTCAGTTTATATGAACGTGGCTTTATTAGTACTATTTATAACTCCAGCCCACCATGGAAAGTTTAAGCTGCACGAAGGTTAGTTATAGACCAATGTCAACCAAATATAATGTGTGCATGTAAATGTTGCTTGTCTGTTTATAAAACATGGTTCAGCTTATAAGAATTTTGACAACAGACTGGGCATTAGGGAAAAGGAATGTAAGGTACAGTGTGAGAAGGACCAAAGAGACAGATGATAGCTCTCCAGTCTTAAAAACCAAGCAGTCTTAATAAATAAGTCTAGATTGCTATATCGACATTTATTCATTTGTGTTGGCTAGAAATTATGACAGTTGAGGCCCAATATGTTTAAGGTGACCAGATTGGAGAAGAATAGTGTATGATCGCTCTCCTTTATAGCAACCACTTGCATTCCATGTCCTGATCACAGGTAAATTGTGTGATTTTAGATCATTCACCTTGTTCAAACTCTACACTGCTTTAAAGAAACAGTTGAAACTACAACTGCATTTCTATTTTAAAAAATAGAGTAAGATAAAAAGCTGAAAAGAGCCTAGAGCTGTAGAACAAATAGTTGGGAATGTTACAACAAAATACATAATTAAATGAAAATGAGTAAGCACAAATTTTTTTTAAAAAAAATGTTTAGTATTACCAAAAACATAAGGAACATTTTAAAATATTTAATGTTAATGTTAAATATTGTACATATTCAGCCATGCTCACATTTTAACTATTTTACATGGATGGAGGAAACTATTCCTTATATGGCTGTTTTGAACCAAGATGCCAAATGTTCAAATATCACAAATACACTTCAGTAAAAGTGCAGATCTCTGCTAAAATACCTCAAGAAACAAAAATGTATAAACTACAAGTACAAATCTCTCCACTCCTTTCAGGACAACAAAATGGTAGGTCTGTTCAGATGATCCATAATTTGTCCAGTTTGTTTTAAGTCCTAGAGGAAAAAACATTCTTAAGTTAATTTGCGTTTCCGGCTGCGTGCGGGTATCTTCTGTGCAGGTAAAGGCAAGCATAAGGTCCCTAATTTGTGTTCTTCAAATCCAGAGAGGTTTTTGCTTTTGCTGATCTTCAGTCTCATCGCCTTGGCAATGTCAAGTATTCTGCATTAAGAGAGAAAATGTCAGTTAGAAAGACTGTTCTCAAAGAGTGTCTTCTTCTTTCTTCTTGTAGCAGTCTTCTCTTCACAGTTTGTGACTTTGGCTTTTTCCTGTTCCTTTCCCTCCTTTGGCTGTCAGATTACAGCCGTAACTTACATTCTAAACTCTTTGGGCTAAAGAATTGGGTTTTTTGCTGATGCCAGCAAACTTCTTTCCACAAAGCAAGGCAACATGCTGATTGAATCAAGAACCTATCACATTTGAAGAAAAGCCAAGCCTCCAGCCAGGCTTTCTGACCGGAGGCTTCCTGATGAATTGGACGGTAAGCCTCATCTGATGGCAGTTGTAGTTCAACACAGCTGGAGATTGGAGAAGGCTGCCAGAAGCAACGACATTCTACCCAAAACATTTCTGAAAAACGGAAAACAAATGCCCTGCATTCCTTTAATGCAGTAAAAAAAAAAAAAACCACCATCTTATTTTTGCTTTTTGTTTTTGCACTGAACAGAATTACATCATTCCCCCATAATTCACCATTCACTTCTTGCATGAAATACAGGTAGTCCTTGAGTTATGACCATAAGGGAGCATAACATGGGTTGGTCATAAAGTGGGTTGACTGATTTGATTTTACAATTATTTTTTTGCAGTAGTCATTCAGTGTTTTCCTATGAGGTGGTAAAACCAGAAGCAAATGCTGTCTTGCGGCAAAACTGTCATAAAATGTGGCCACTGCACATACGGCCTGGTTGCTAAGCACCTGAAGTGCAGTCAGGTGAATACAGGGTGGGCCCAACTTTTGGAACTTCAAATCTGTCAAGGTTCCAGACAGAGCTTGGGGTTATTCCTGACACTCTCGCCCACAGTCCGGTGGAGACTCTGGCTGCTCCGTGGCACTCGGCAGCGTCGGAGGCCCTTGACCGGATTGCGCCACTGCGGCCCCTCTGAGGCAGCGGATCCCGGAGACCCCCTTGGTTTACCGAGGAACTCCGGGAGATGAAGCGCCGGAGGAGATGCCTAG